ACCGTCGATCCATGATTGTTGGTTGGCTAAATATGCACTAGCACCCTTTTTTATTTTTTTAATCGTCCCTTAAATCTTATTGGCATAAGATTTTGACCGGCAAATTGTACCGGCACCTCCACTGGTCTGGTCCTCATATTTCAGACCGTTCCACTCTCTCAAGAGTGAAAGTGCCGTCACGAACCATCTACTCACCACCAACCAACAAGCTACGCCTCCCATGCCCGAGTCACATCAGCGCCGCTCACCAAGCGAATACGCACGGCTCATGGCCTAAGAGGCATTGCCCGATCACGCCGAGCAGACACACAGCCACGTAGCTTTAAAGCTTCGGGATTCGTGTACTCGACGCTGCGACTTCGTCGCACTATCAAGTTAAATTTTCATTGTAGCCTCCCTCAGCCTCCTTCTTCTGTTTCTCAGCTACATTTTATTATTTCTCATTTCAATGTAATAATTATCTTATCTGTATGAATTGTTAACTTATTTCTACACCACCATTGAGGTAGTGTCATGGCACGATGGTTATTTTTTCTTAAAATTTATTCTTAATTATGATTAGGGCTGTTTAATCACATTTGTAGTCATAGAAAAAAAGTAACAAAGTTAATGTATCATTATTGTACGAAAATAATTTGTCATCATATTTTTAAGGTGACCTCCCTAGTTGGTACAATGTTATTATCACTTATTAATCAGTTTTTTGGTAATAGGTATCGTTGAACATGTTTGTAACTACAGTTTAGACCATGGTCATTTCTAGTAATGAATTCTTAATGTATCTGATCTTTTTACTTGCCTTTCATAAGCTTTCTAGAGCTAAAAAGTAAAAAAAAAAAAAAAAAAACTGATTTTTAGGTTACTGCCGCTTTCATCTGACCGCCATATTGGTCCACTAGATTGGATTATTCACGATTGGCACACGGCACACGGCACGATTGAAGTAGGGATTTTTAGCTAAATTTTAGCCCTCATACGACTCAAAATGCCTTACCTATTTTTTTAGTACCTACTTGTTGGGCTTCACTCCTATCCACGCTTTGCATACCAACTTTCGACTGCTATTAAAACATTAACCACAACGATAAGCTGTTAAATAATGATTTAATTTATCAAATAACGTTGTATTTAAATAAGTATACCTTTATTAAATCATAAAATTTTCATATTTTCATGAAGAATAACAAAATAACCTCAACTTTGCCATTTAAAATTTATAAACTAAGCAAAATTTCTATTACATACCGTTTCAAATAAGAAGAAAATTTTATTTTCAATAACAAATCATGAATCAGTTCTATATATGTCTAACAAAAATGAGAACAAAATTTGTTTTTACATAATTACAACTGTTTCATTTAAATTGTACGAAATTAAATACGAAGAGCAACATTACTTAAAAGTTACAGACCGCACACCAATGTAACTTGTGAAACGTTAAAAAATTCTATCGTTGTGGATTTCAATAAAATGATTTCTTGGTTCAATAATATGTACGAAAAGGTTAGTTCCAGGTAGCAAAAAGGTACTGAACCTGTTAAAAACAACGAAATAAAAGTTGGAGGGCTAAGATGTTCTGTAAGAGGGTTAAATTATATTCTAATATATTTAAACAAATGCTGCTTTATCATTTATACTTTACAGAAATAAGATTTACTACAGTTTATTTGTTAATGTATCATCACTCATTTTTATATTGCATTAAACAGCTTTAATGTTTTAAATTAAAAATGTATTTATAAAGTTTAATTTGTACTTTGTTCAACTTTTTTTAAAGTTTTACAGTAGTTTTAATTTCGATGCTTTAAAATTGATCCAGCAGTGAGTTTTATTGTAAAGAGAGCTGGTGACACCATTTACAAGCTGAAGCTGGGTTTTACTAGCACAAAAAAGCTGACGAAAGTAAAAGCAATTATTGTATGATTATTATCACAGGCTAAAAGTAAGTTTACATTAGCAGAACCAAACCTCAGTTATTAATAGATGGTGATATCTAGCTCTGAAATTTAGAAGTGCTAGAAGCTGGTAGTGTTTTTAACGTACTAAAAATACTCTTCGTAGAAATAAATTGTACTGGAGCTTCAGCATAATTTTAGTACTGTTAATATATTAAGAATTCTTGCAATTTTTCTGTCTGCATAAGTCTCCTGTTCAATACAAATACACCCTCTTTGCATTCTGTGCACCAACTCTCCGGTAACTGAAGCTTGTCCTTGTATTAAAAAAGGCGCTTAATAATTATTCTAATAAACTGAGAATTATATTAAATTAATTATTATTTTAAAATATTTCAACAACATTTATCGACTAAAAGCGTTTTTCCGATTAATTATTCTTTTTAGGTACGTTTTTTTAATGACTTTTTGTTAATTTGAGGGTAACAGATGGAGAGTTTTTTTGAGTGGGGGCACAGAAAACGTGAAGAAAGCGAAGGAGGGAGGGAAAAAATGAACTTATTTCTGTTTTCTTGAAGGGGACACAAACAATATAACGGACTTGAGAAATAGCAAGGTGGGTGATGAGGCTATCCAAAATTTAATTGGGTTAGTTTTACAGAGAAATAAAACAAAGTTTGCCTCATTTTGAGGGGAACTAGTGACAGCCCTTCCTTAATAACTTTAATACAGAAAGATATATATGGATAGGCTTTTGATTTCAAGACTTTTTTTTTTATTTTTCTTGTACTTGTAACATTCTGAAATTCAGCAATATTTTGGAAAAATTTTTTAGTTTACACTCTTTTTTGAGGTTTTAAGTACGGCTATAACCACGAATTTATCACTTCTACTCGTCATTATTGCTGTAAACGGTAAGACGAGCTTCAGAGGTTATCTATAAGCATGTGTGACTTCGAATGATAAACCCTACACTACCCCGGTTCGGTTTTACTCGTCAGTGATTTTTTTTCAATACAATTCCTAATATAATTTTATTCATAGTTTTTTTTTTTTTTTAATGAACATCAACGGATGTTCAGAATTTTTTATAAAGTTCTTAAATGTATGAATTATATTCATATTTTTAAAAATTATTTTAGTATTATAAAATAAAGAAATGGACTTGGTTACAAGTAGTATAAAATTAACAAGTTATTTTGTTAAATTAGTTTTAAAGATAAATATGTTTTGACGTATCCAAAAAAAAGTATACTTGCATACATTTTTTTTCTTATATAGTTTATATAGTTTACAGCCGTTCCTGAGAACTATGCTCAATAAGCTGAGAACTGCTGCATGAATAGGCTATCATCATTGGCATATTAAAAAGCTGCCTCAGGTTGAATGTGATGAATTACTTACACATCAATAAGGACCTTGTTTTATATGCTCCCGAGCTATAAGAACCACAACCTAAACCACCGTGCTATCGTAACCGCTCTATGCTCATATATACATATACACATAAATATTAGCATTTTGTTTCATAATTTGATTTTTCAAATATTATGAGTAGCCTCTTTTAAATTCTCATATGTTTAAAAGAATTTTTAAAGGGTACAATGGATTTTTTTCACAGTCATGTGCAGAAATTTTTTTTTTGTTATTTATGCTCCCTTAATCTCTAAATATTGAATCATAAGATTGAAGCAAATTAGTTAAATACCATATGTTCATACTTATACAGTTAAAGTAAAGCCAGAAAGACTAGTCGCAGACGTCACTTGCTTTTGCTGTGCGCTTAACTATCTAGAGCTGACCAACATTTCCACTCGTCTCCTTGTACGTGCACTTTCCGTATATTTCCTCTCAAGCATCTTTAAAGTGTGCGGTTATACGCACATTTTCATGGAAATCTTTTTCTTTTTCCATATGCGCACACCCCTACGATACTACTTAAATAAAATAAAAACATCTGCATCTAGTTCGGCCGCTTGGCTGGGACGGGATGCTCGAACTAGTAGAAAAAAGTGGGCACACTTCGTAGCTTTGTAGTCAGCAGAAGAAAATTATGTAGTGAAAAATAATTTCAACAAAAATACCTGTATTAATAACAATATTTTGAATACTGTAAAGAAGTTAATAAGTTTGAACGTAGTAAGACATTAACTCTTCATATCCTTGTTAATATTTATAAGAACTCAAAATTTTTATTACAGAACTGCGTCTTAGCAATGGAAATAAAAAAAAGTATGTACACTTATGTTAATGATACCTTACCTTCGTTAACATAAGCTAAGGGTAATCACTAGCTGTAATCAGGAAAGTTTGTTTTTTAATAATTCAAATAACGTATATAATGACAGGGTTTGATCTCAGATTTTGTTTAGGTCAGGTAAAAACACTAACTTTGCAAGTACCAACATGTACTAGAAACAGACGTAGTTTTCATTAAATTAACTGAAATTCCCTTTTACTAAATGTCTTATATATTTTGACTTAATAACCTTGTAATAAAATCACTTTAAAACTTATGGATACTATTAGGAATTAAAATATCATGTGAAAAAATTTGTTGAACTTTTTTTTAGATTCATTTACAAACCCGTTTTGAGTCAGTTAAGATGAAATCATGCCTATATATATTCACATAATAATTTCTGAAACTCTTTTGTTTTAATATTATACGTCTTACTATGACATTTTAATTAAAATCTTTTGTGGTCAATAATGAATTAAGATCTGTTAGATTTCGCACTTTTAATTTTGAGATTTTTTTCTCTTTGTTTTTTGTTTTTTTTAAACTTTAACAATGATTGAAGTAAATTATTTTATGTTTTTCAAGCATTCAAACATTTATACTGCTTTAGTTTTTAGTGAGACACAGCGATAATATTCGATTAAATATTTATTTTCGTGAAAAAAAGAAAAAAATGTTTTATCTAACTATGAAGCGCATAAGTCAGTAAAAACATTGAAATAAAAACTTTCATTTTTTTTTTTTCTCTTAGCCACTTATAGTTTTTAACACGTTTTCCGTGTATTTCAGGAGAAGATTAACTAAGCAACGATCAGCTTACTGCTTAACTTTAGATAAATTTTATCATACAACTACAAACTTACCGTTTTAAGTCCGCATGATAAATTTCGTCATCTGAAGAATTTGTTTCATCATCTTTGTCGCTAAGAGTCGAATCTATTTTTTCGTAACGCAACAGTCTATCAAGTAAGAAACTTTTATCTCGTTTTGCTTTCAATAAATGACGTTGAGTGGACCGCAATGCTTCTTGAAAACACTCATTTTCCTAAAAAGATAAATAGTTAAAGCAAAACATATAGCTTGTAAAAAAGTGTATACAAGATTATATAAGATGCCTGCTCAATAATTTATTTTTCATAAAACAAATAAAAAATTTTACTGCCTAATAATGTAAGTCTTGTATTATTGAAAAATTGGGAATTCTTAAAACGTTACTTCAAAATTTATCAGTAATATTTTATATAGTGTGTAACAGAAAAATACATCTTCTGTAAAAATAAACTTGTATATTTCAATCTCTCCTTCTTTGTCTTTGAGCCTGTGTAAAAGAGAGATTAGATTTTAAGAAAATTTAAATATACTATGGGTAATAAAACAGTTTTAATTTATCTACTTTGTTACCTAGCTTGAGATTTGTTGCACGCTGCCTTCAATGATTCGAGCGAGTCCTTCAATCTCATAGGTGATGGGATTGAATTCCAAAGACCTTTGGCACATTGAGAAAAAGCTAAAGAGTGTACATTTATTGTAGCATGCAACATACTCTAATCAGACAGAGAAAGACACTTATTTCGACACAATCATATTCAAAATCCTACTCGGAAAGATATCATACAAATACCTAAGTTTCTGCATGGTACGCGTTTCATTAGTGGTTATAGTTAGAACGTAGTCACGCCTGATACTCAGACGTAATAATCTTATCTTTTCGTAGAACTGTTTCAGCGATGCATTACGTCTAAGATTAAGTATAAATTTCACAACTGTGTTAGTAAGTCTATCTAGTTTGGCAGACAGGCACCCCGATAAACTTCTTTACACTAAGCATGAGTAATTTGAATATGGAACAATGACCTAGACGCGAACATTATTTTGTACAACTCGTCAAGAGCCCAACCTGGAATAGCAGCCGATACAGTTCCCATGTACTCATTACAATATGGCTGCCACATGTGCGTTCCAACTTCAATCATTTGCAAGTCAAACGCCGAGTGTTCTGACGTTTTGAACAAATGGTATTGTGTGACTATTAGATAAGGCGAGGAAGACCCAACGTGATTTCGCACATAAAGCTCTAGCAACTACCCAACAAGACTGCGTATGGCTTTCCAAAATAATATGGCATTCTACATAATATGTACAGTATATTTTAGTTGCATGTCATTGTATGTCTTTCACTGTACAGTGAAAAATTCAGCTTTATTATTAGCACTATTTTAATCATTATTCAAGAAGTGATGTATTCGTAACGAATTTGTTTGTGATACTTTACTTAAAATTTTTTATTTTTGTACTTTATATTGTAATTTTCAGAGCAACTAAAATTTTTTAAAGGGAATTTTTTAATATCTCGAACTAAGCTATTGTTTTTGCTATTCGTTTCAGGTGCAGTACTCAGCCTTGCATACCCTTATTCTTGTTTTCCATTTTTAAGAGTAGAACAGCTTTAACCTACATTTTTCTGAGTCTTTACACTTATTACCACCAGACATTAAGCAGAACTTTTAATTGTTATTATCTTTGTAATAGATTTTTATTTAATTCTTTCTGCAGGTGAGGCGAGCTTGGTTTATGCTACTATAACCACTCAGTACCCTCTCGTTATCTGGGCTATGCGTCAGCGCTAATGTCATCCTTTCCTCACCTCATACATGCCACCTTTTTTTCGTGCAGGTGATGCCGATCAGTCTTAAACAAGCCCACCTTTTTATTGTCAAGGCAATGTTGCCACCGTGCATCATTCACTCTTCTGGCCACGTGACAGAGCAAAATCAGTCATATCCTCTTTCTTGCTCCACAGTAAATGATCCTGATTATTTTTGTTAAATCATTTCTCAACTTTTTCCATTACTACAAGTTACGTTAGTTATATTATTTCAAATTCCAAAGAAAGTCTTTTTTGTTGCTAAGATACAACTCAAGCAGTAGTTGATGTCTCATGTTTCTTTTATAATGCTTCATGAATTTGTGAATTTGTAAGAGCACTTTAATAAAGTACATATGCTCAGATAAATTAAATTTTTCTTGACTTTAGTAGTATGTATTAAAAGAAATCATTATTTTGTCTTTATATTTTGCGAATTTTGTAGATACTTTGAAATTAATCATGAGACCAGTTTTTAAACGGACTCTCTCAGTCCTATTTTATATTTAGTTTCAAGACGATATCAAAAACTGATTGTGTTAACTGTTTTGATACTACTTTTACAACGAGCTTAAAGATTTATTTTGAGAATAGCTTTAAGACGATCTTCAAGACTAGATTTGAAATAGTTTAATGCTTGTTTGTTTATCAAGTCTGAGATCTGTTTTACTATCGGCTTAGAGACGGACTTTAGAACACTCTGTAAGACCAATTATTATAACAGTTTTGAGACTAATTTTTAAACATGCTTTGAGACATATTTTTAGACCAGTAATAAAAACAGCTTTAATACTTATGTTGATACCAGGTTTAGAACGAGCTGAGAGACCAGTTTTGAAACAATCTTTAAGACCATTTTTGAGGCTAATTTTGAAACTTTCTTTGAGATTCATTATGAGACAAATTTTTACACGAGTATTAAACAGATTTTGTTATTTGTTTAAAGACTAGTTTTAAGATTAATTTTGAGATTAAAACAAGTCTTCACAACCCCGTGAAACTAGAGAGTTTAAAATCCTATTTTATAACTTTTGTTGTGTCTCTGCACAAATAAGATCAGTTTTAATGCACGTGGTAAGATTTTTTGTTGAATTTTTTGAGTTTCATTTCAAAACGATCTTTAAAACCTATTCTGAGGCAAGTTATTAAATCGCCCTTGATACTTATTTTGAAATTAATTTTTAGACAAACTTTGAGTCAAGCTTCAATATTAATTTCCAAAACTTATTTATTTATTAAATCTGTGAATCGTTTTAATACTAGTTTTGAATCAGTCTTTGAAATTAGTTTGAAAATTAGTTTTGAGGCAAACTTTGAGGCACTCTTTGAAACCCATCGTTAGAACAGTTTTGAAACAAATTTTGAAACAACTTTCAAGACCTATTTTGAGACCAGTGATAAAACAGCTTTGATACTGATGTTAAAATCAGGTTTAAAACGAGTCTTGAAACTAGTTTGAAGAGTCTGACTTGAAAAAATATACTTTATGTATTTCTACATGATCTATGTGGACTCTTGCATGGATATAACGTCAATTTTGTATTAAGTACTTTAAACTGCGTACATTTCGATAAAGAATGATTTTTAATAGGCAGTATTTTAATTTGCATACATTTTCATATTCATGTAGATGTTAATCTGGACCTTACGTGTACATTTCAATGTACATAAATTTTACGTTGATATCAAGGTTAATTGTATGTGCATAGTTTTAAGTATGCATGGATTTCCACACTAAAATCCATTGGGATTTGAAATGTATGATTTTAATCTGCTTTTATGTCTAGGTGTAAATAAGTTTTTTAATATGCTTGAATTTTTACGTAAAAATTTATGCAGATTTTTCATGCACAGTGTCACGTTCTATTGATGCTACGTAGATTCTGATAGCCTTCTGCATCAATATCTACATAGATTTTTTTTACTAAGTACTTATATCAAGAAGCTTTGGGAGCTTTAGTCGTCCATTAATACGTAGGCCTACTAGTAACTTAAGCAGTAGTGCTGCGCTGCATAGGTAAAATTTTAAGAAGAAGACTTCTGGAGATAACGTACATAATTGTTATAAAGAACAATGGGAACGCTTATGTGACGACAATGTAATAGATCGAGGGTATAGTTGCCTTGTTAAAAGTATACTTTTGTTGCGAAGAGTTTTTAAAAATTTCATTTCATTTCTACATGGATTGTTTCCACCATGATGTTACTAAATAAATCTAGCTAGGATCAATCGCAAAATTCATCCAGCTTCCATTAAATCTATATGGAACTCTTCATGAAAATTCATATGAATTTCCACATGGATTTCCATTACGATGCTTTCACTGAGGGTATTTAAGGACAATTTTCGAGACTAACTTTAGAACTTACTTTGAGATTCATTTTAAGACCAATGTTTACTTAATCTTTAAAATAGGTTTTGCGACTAGTATTTAGAAATTTTTAAGACTAATTTTGAGCCAATTTTAAAGTTGCTTTAAAAACTTTCATTGTATTTTTCATATTTAAAATCAGTTTTATTACATATGTGATTTTTTTTTAACCTTTTTTCTAAACTAAATTTAAGACAATCTTTGATACCTGCTTAGAGACAAGCTAATACATTACCTTTGATACCTATTCTAATGTGAGGTTTTGAGCTCATAGCTCTTCCATGCTTTTCTATCCCTTGTGACGGAGATTTTCCAGCCGACAAACAGCCACCCTGATCTCTTGTCACAAAGGTTTCCGTATGTCCTTACATAGTCTTTACACACTGGACTCCTTTCCTCGAGGAGGTTTGCCACAGGTGTCCAACTCAGGAACACCAAACACTTTTAAAAGAAATTAAAAAGAGGAAAAGGGGGTCGCTAATTAGAAATTTCATAGCACGCCCACACTTTTCATTCGTCCAGTACACACTTTCGACTATTACACACTTTCTCTCTCTCTCTTCTCTATAAATGTATTAACACACTGCTATCGAGATAGAGTGTCTTCGTGCGAACACCTGTCGATCGTCCTCACCGCCGAATTCTAGGCTCGGCTGTCGGTAGCCGGTACCAAGGTTACACGCACACACACACGCAACCTCAAACATACCTCCTACTCGATTTAATTACCCTATCCCTATGTAAGCCCTCACATACTTACTCTCGCTTGCTGTGATTTCCGTATCCTTACGTACACCTGCTTACATACACTCGCGTTTGCTCGGATCGTCTCCCAACAGTCTATTCCGTAATATACTGCCAGTGCACTTTCCACAACACATCTATCTTGTTGCTATCCTCGCTGTCACCTGGTGTTACCTGAAGCTTGTCCTGGTCATCGCAGTAGCTCGGCTGCACGAATAACTTAGGGCAGGGCAATCTACTGCTGCTCTCTTCTCTTCTAGCTATTTTTCTCCTTATTCTTCCTAC